AGGACCCCAAACATCTGAATGGACTAAAGTAAAAGGTGACTCTACTCGATTATCAAGACGCCGGGGGAAATGGGAGCGAGTATGCTTACCGAGCTGACATGACTCACACTTTGGAGCTGACAAGTGAGATAAACCAGATACCATTTTCTGAAGTTTTGACAAACTTGGATGTCCCAACCGTTTATGTAATAAATCTGGTGAATCAGTAACATGACATGTTGTAGAAGGAAGACAAGATGTGAGTCCATGTGATTTAGCAAGGATAAGGTAATAAAGTTCGTTTGATTCACGCCCGGTACCAATGATTCGCCCCGTACTGCGTTCCTGTATAGAAACATGGTCATCAAGAAATAAAACAGCGCATTTAAGTGATTTGGCTAAACGACTAACAACTATGAGATTAAAAGGACTATTGGGAACATAAAGGACTGAATCTAAAGGTAAGGAAGTAAGTGAGCTTGCTTGACCTATTGTAGTTGCCATGGTTTGAGACCCATTGGCCATTGTGACTTTTGGAAGAGATTGAGAATACGAAATAGTAGTGAAAAGAGATTTGTTACTAGAAATATGATCTGATGCACCTTAATCAAAAACCCAAGACAAAGAGGATGAAAATTGGGAGAAACAAGTCACGCTATTACTTGTTTGAACATCAAAAGCTATCTCAGAAGATGTCTGCTTACATGCTTTGTACCGAAGGAACTCAATATAATCTGCTAAAGAAACCATCAGACTATTCAAAGAATCGGTTCCCATGTCGCTACAATTTGTAGTAGTAGGGTTAACTTGAAATAGTGGAAATAAGTAACTCCGGTGAGAAAACTGAAGAAATAGCTTGAAAAACACTGTTTACAGCAGGAAAACAGAACATTGTTCTGCGCCGGAAACACTATTCACGCCGGAATCTACTGTAGCTGACGGAAAAACTCAAAGTGGTCGGAATAAAACAAAACCAGTGAGGGTAGGATCGGAATTACCTGGCGATCCTACTGTTCAACTGGAACTTTTTCACAATCTGGTCGGAACAGTGCTCACGCGCCGGCGCGTAGGTCAGATCTCGCCGGAATTGTTTTTCTTTTCCAGGTGCGTGAGGGCGCGTGGACGTGTGTTTTCCGGTGGGGTTGACTGGGGTTTGGTCGCCGGAGCCTGAGGAGTCTTGTGGTGGTGTTGGTTTTTGCACAGCACCAACAGAAAGTGATTTGCTTAGGGACATCCTTCTAAGTCGCCGGAAAATTGCACGGCGAAGAGGTCTTTCTTCCCGGAAATTGCTGGAATGATGCATAGCAACGGGTTTTTCGCTAATGCTCTGATACCATGTGAGAAATCACGGGAGAAAATATATTATTGATATTAGATAATAAATACAATACAAGAGGTCCCTATTTATAGCTATACACTACAAGGAGGTATTACTCCTCATCTAATGTGGGACAAGACTACACTATACATATCTGTAAACTAACACGTTTAAATGTTCATACCTGTTATTCTGCTTTGAAGTGAAGAAGCTGAAAAAAAAATAACCCTAAGCCACAAAAACAAAATATGAGTTTTTGCTTGACTTGAATAATAGAAAGGCAATGTTGAAATTCATTCTAACAAGAGGACTGTATTTTCTAGCGAGTGCTAGAAGAACACATTTCAAAATCTTCACTGAGATAATGCTCAGCTGTATGTTCAAAATGGTGTCGTTTCTGAACTACTTCGTCAGAAGCAAAGGAGGGTTTTTGTCTTCAGTCATGATCGAGAGGAGAGAGATGAAAGCTTCTCTAGCATTGGGTGGGCTCACTAGCTATTAGCTTATTAATTCTTTTTTTATTCCTGTTCCTCCTTAACGCTAATGAAAAGTTTCACTTTTCTGATATAAAATGGAATGGGCAAGTCCTAAGTGGCAGCTCTCCAACTAGGCGATTGAGCACTTGTATCCTGGATCTGATGAGAGTGTTTGCATTGTGTCCTTGTCAAACAGGGTATTCTTTTCAAAGGTAAAATAATAGACTAGACGTGAAGCTCGAAATTGTGCAGGGATATTGTCACATCTGACTGATGCGCCAGGAAGCATGAGAAGCTTCTGTCTTACTATGTTTTGTTTTGTTATTTTGCTCTATGGTGACCAACTGACCATGACTGCATAACTGGAACATGATCTGAAAGTGCTCTGCTTCTTTTATTTGCGTATGCTTATTATCAGAGGCGCACTTAAAGCGCGCTTAAGCCCTGAAGCGAGGCTCAAAACATGTTGAGCACTTCGCCTCTCTTAGTGGGCGCTTCAGTGTTGTCATCAAGGATCTAAGACATACTTTTCTTTGCCAATGAGCGTAATCCTGAAGAGGTGACTCTAAACAATTGATATTTCACTTTATTATAAATTTTCTTCAATTTCTTTGTCCATATATTTGGTATTCATACTTATAGATATTAGTCTTGGACTACACATACATATTTGTAGTTTTTCTCCATTTTGCGCCTTTCTTCCTTAAAGCCCACGCTTTATTTGCGCTTTGCGCTTAAAACCCCAACAGACCTTAAAGTGTTTTTGTGCTTTTCGCTTTTGATAACACTGCGTATGCATACACGTTTGAGAAAGTTGCTACTTAACTTTGAGATTACCAAATAATATCATAAAAGCATAATTCACATTGAGTCTTCTTGACTTTGATATTGTTAGATTACAGACGCCAAGTCGATTTTGATTAACAATTACTTTATACTCATTTTCCTTGGGCTCTACAGCAAGCTAGAAAGTTTTACATGCACTTTTGTGTGGGAAGAGCTATTATGTTTAACCTGAAAGAATGAGAACATGGATCTAAAACTATTCTGAATTTCAAGCTGCTGTTCTTTACAGTCACGGACTAGGAAACTTCCAGAGAAGGGCATCAAATTTGTAGGATCATTGTCTGGATGGACTGCCACTCTTCTTTTCATGTGGATGCCAGTTTCACAAATGGTAGTTTCTACAACATTTTATATTTTAGGGTAAAATTGTCAAATCGTAGTTTTTCACAAGTTTGAGGTTCCTCATCTTGACTGATACCTTCTGACCTTCTGTCCAGTGGACAAACCTTCTAAATCCAGATAATATCAAAGGTTTATCAGCTCTTTCAATGTTGCTTGCGATGATTGGGAATGGACTCATGATTCCACGAGCACTCTTTACTCGGGATTTGATGTGGTATGGCACCTCATAATGATCTTCCTTTGTATTGCAAATTCCTTTCCTTCTTTAGCTATCAAATTAGATCTAGAATTTCCCGCATCACCTATTTATTTTTGCTAACCCTCTTAAATGCATCAATCTCTGATCTTTCTGAATCTTTTTCTGTATAAGGTTTTCTTCTTTTTCATTTTCTGATTCTTGTGAAGTCTAGTGCATTTTCCCCTTTTCAGTCAAGTGAACAAAGGCAGTGGAAATTTTGTATATGTAAATTCGTTTCTTCTAAATTTTAAAGGACCTGAATTATAACATATCAAAAATATGATTTTCTTGTATATTACAGTACCCACATTTTTAGAAATTTTGTCTCTGCCATATCCATCCCCCGCCCCAAAAACCAAAAAAATAAATAAATTCTGGCAATATATTTCTCTGCTTGGTTAATTACAGGTTCACTGGTTCAACTTGGGCATGTGTTTTTTATGGATGGGGAAACCTTGTCTGCTTATACCTGTAAGTTGCTGCAAAGCTCCTCATAGTTTCCAAATTTTATTAAAGAATCAACCATTGTTCTACTTGCTAAATCCCTTTTGTTCTGCATTCAGCTGCAAAGTTATAAGCAGGGAATTTTTCTTGGCTTCAACGGTTGGCTTTGTAGCATGGCTAGGTAAATCCTCACTCTCATTTGTTTTCTTTTAACTTGAATTTCTGGCTCTCTTAACTTGACGTTTAAATACTGTTTTAGCAACTCCATGCCTTGCTCGTCGACGGCCTGGCCTCAGCCCTCCGGGCCTCATGATGGCTTTTTTCGTTTTCCCCTTCCCTCTCGCGTTAAACTTTTGCATTTGGGCTGATGAGATTTGACTCCTCTTTTTTCTTTTTTTTGGCTGAAAACAGTGTTCAGCTTCTGGAGAGACACACAAGTATATGGTTATAGTTCTCCATTGAAATCATTGAAGGAATTGATTTCTGGTTCATAACTGACATTAAATCATTGAAGGAATTGCTATAAGTTTGACATGGAAAAATGCTCAAGCTTGGCATTTCTGCTAAATCAAGTGGTCATAATTGACAAGAAATCACTCCATGTTAATCCTTTTCTTTAGAAAATTTGGTGAAAGTGCTTCTGGCAAATCTCTTGGGGTATCAGGCAAGGTCTAGTTCTTGTAATGTCAAATTGTTCTGCATATGGTAGTGAGGAAGGTTCTTGTGGTTTTCACATGTAATGTCAATTAATAATAAAGCTACAAATGCAATGTAGAGCAAGTATATTTGTTGTATTTCATTTTGGGACCATCTTAATGAATTGAAAATTAGCCATGCAATTTTTGAAGAAATTGGACGTTTAAGTCTATCCAATAATTATATGGACATAATCAGATTATATGTTTGTGTACATTGGATTATTAGTTAAAATATGACGTGGGAGAATAAAATGAAGATAGAATTTTGAAAATGTGAATTATACATAATTGTTTCTGTTTTTATAAGGTAGACTTTGATGTTGTATTTGTAATACAAGAATTTCATATTCATGCACTTAGGTAATACTTGGTAATTGTATTAGTGTGATTCGCTCGATGCGAGTAAACGGTATTGAGTGCCGATCATGTTCCTCTAAATTTGGAGCGTGCAAAGATACTTAAATAGTTATCCAAGAAATAAAGAAGCTTATTTGCCTCTTTCTTAAGGATATTTATGGAGAAGAATTAACCTAAATACTGTTAATTTTATTAAAACTCTAAATACTAACTTCATATGAGCTCTTACAAAACCTGAATAAATTGGAAGAATCAATTTACAAAGCCCGCATTATCGATTGGAAGAAAGAAGTTTTTACTTCGAGTACAAATCTCGTAAAAGTCTTAGTTAAGTCCTCAATTAATTATAAATAATCCTTTTATTCCTAGGTACAAATGTCTTTTTAATTAAAAAGTAGTAGTATTCCCCCCTCCCCTCGAGTATATTTCATTAAATTCTTCGGAAAACCCTAATAGTTTTTCCTCATAGTGCAAATCTCATTCAATCATTAGTAACGGCCTCAATAAAATAGAAGTACGTAATACCAATATGTATTTATATGTGTGAATATATGAAAATAAAGTGGTAGCTAATTCGAGTTTCCCGAAGAAGGAGGAGCACTTGGTTACCTTTAGTAGTACGGTGGCTAAGACTCACATGCTCCTTAGGAAAGGAGATACAGATCTATGTGAGGATTGCAAGGGTATGCCGAGTGAGAATCTTACGACACGTCACAAGCTCTTGGTTTATGGATTTAGAGATTAGGAGGAAGAGACATAAGAGAGTTGCGCATGGCCAACCAAGGATCAGATGGGCCGGTCTGAGCACGACCAAAGCTCAGGAAATGGGGGAAAAGTTGATGGCAATCGGGGCTTGGAGTAGTAGTGGGGATGCAAATAATATGTGAGATAGGACATATAATTGCATTAGGGAAGTAGCTAGAGAGGTGTTGGGGTCTCGAGGGGTCACTTTGGTGGGGCCAAGGGGACTGGTGGTGAAATGAAGAGATCCAAGGAAAAGTGGAAGCCAAGAAGGTGGCCTACACAAGCTAGTGGAGAGCAAAGATGAGGAGGAAAGGAGAATGAGTTTGGAGGGGTATAAGACGACAAAAAAGGAAGCTAAGTTAGCAATTTCGGTGATGAAACGGTTGCGTTTGAATGCTTGTATGCATAACTAGGTGATACAGGTGGGGGATAAGAAGCTGCACAGGCTCGTTGAGGCAAGAGAGAGGAGGATCCGAGACCTGAACCAAGTGAAGTGCATCAAAGACGAAGAAGGAAATGTATTGGTGGATGAGGCACTCATTAGACGAAGATGACATGCATATTTTCATAAACTCTTGAATAAAGGGGGAGACCGGAATATTATGCTGGGTGATTTAGAATACTCCGACAGGCATCGAGATTTTGGGTATTGTAGGTGTATAAAATTTGAGGAGGTCACGGGGGTAATTCGTAGGATGAGTAGGGGAAGAACATCCGGGCTAGACAAATACCGGTGGAAATGGAATTTTGGAAAAACGCAGAAAAGGCAAGTGTGGAGTGGATGACTAGGTTATTTAATGTTGTTTTTAGGATGAAAAAGATTCCTGAAGAATGGAGGTGGAGCACGATGATTCCGTTGTACAAGAACAAGGGGGATATTCTGAATTGCAATAACTATAAGATGCTTAGCCACACGATAAAAATTTGGAAAAGGGTGGTAGAAATTAGGGTGAGGAAGGGCTATCTATCTCCGAAAACTAATTCGGATTCATGCAGTGCCGATCTACTACAGAAGCCTTTCATTTTGTTTACCCTATACTGTTCTGTAGCCGAGGAATGAGAAATTAACTTAAGTCTCCTTCATTCGGCTTCACTTTCAACCTTCCCTAAAGCGAATGAAAGAATCTGAGTAAAAGAGCCCCTAGCTGTAGTAGTGAAAGTAGTAGTAGTTAGTCTTTTCTTTTTGCTGTTACAGAAGCAATAGGCTTGGATGGGCGTGATAGCTTGAAGAAGGAGTACCGGGCTCAAGGCCCTTCTTATTTGACTTTGACTCTGCTGGAACTGGCTGGCTTCTATTTTTGATGGCGCTTCTCTATGGAATCTTATTCTTACTGCCTTGCTAAAGAGCTATGCGATGTCACAGATCAAGCTTTCCGAGTTGTTTATTTCCAAAACGAAACACCCTACCTTTTCTTCGACTATGTATCTAGATCTTTATTTAAAGGGTGGTAGCCCTATATCCTTTAGCTTCCACTTTACCATCAGATGCTTTTCTAGCTTCTCGGAAGGGGTCTGAATCATGTTGCTGAAGCTCATAATTCCGCGTTTTGTGTATCAATGCTTCTAGATTAGTGTTAAGGGTGTGATCGAAGATCAGGCTTGACTGACCGGCTTCATTGACGTCACATTTCGTTCTGGATGGTGTTTGAGTAATTATGAGTGGCCTATAAAGTCTTGGTAGCCTTTAGTCACTTTTGCTTACCTATCTTTTCCCATAGGATTCTAAACCTTCCCCTGATCTACAACTACCTTAGTTTGAACTTTTTTGTAAAAGTTTGTTGGTTTAGCAAATTATTAAGTGGCAGCTCTTTCTACAGATTCGTCTGCTGACGAGGATTTTGGTGTTTCAGATAGAGATAGTTATGCTGATACTGATGCCGAGTCTTATTCCACTACGGATATAAAAAGACAAAAAATTAATTATTCCTCCTTTTTGGGATTTCGAAATTCATTTTCTTCCTTCCCCGAGCCCACCTTTAGCCCTTTCTTCAACTACTTTTGTGGTAGGAACACATTATTCGAGCATGAGAACATTCTGATTTGAAAGAAAGTAAAAACTAGGCTAGTTGCGGTGCCATATTATTCTTCTAGTTTGCCGCGTCCTCTTGCTGCTTCCTGAGGAGATACTGAAGAAGCACGCAATGGAGACGGCGAGAACTTACGATAAGGTGCAACCTTGAAAGGAATAAGGTGGAAGCAGAGTATGAAGAGTTATCACAAAAGAGAAGGAATGGGTGAGGAATTGACATATGTAAATCCTTTATCAAGTAGGAGAGCCATCAAATTTCAGAAGTGGTGATAGCTAATGCTTTGTATTCAGCTTCTGCACTAGCGTGGGAAACTGTTGGTTTCTTTTTAGAGCCCTAAGAATTTATATTGTCACCCAAGTAAATACAGAATCCAGTGGTTGAGCGACGAATTGTTGGACAACCAGCCCCGTATAAGAGTAACAAAAAGAAGTGTTGAGATAGGGCGATTAGGAAATCTAAGACCATAATATAATGGAGAGTGCATTTCAAATACCTTAAAATGCGTTTAAGACAATGATCATGAACAGTGATGGGATTGGCCATAAACTGGCAGGCATGATTAATAGCATAGCGGAGGTATGGTCGAGTGAGAGTGATATATAGGAGAACACCAATAGTACTCCGATAGGCTTGAGGATAAGAGGGAGTTGTACCATCCAAAGCTGAAAGTTTAGAACCGGAAGCAATTTGTGTAGCACAAGGTTTGCAACCAAGCATGTTGGTCCGGCGGAATTAATCTAAAGCATATTTGGTTTGTGACAGAAGAAGGCCAGAGGAGTCATACTGAGCTTCAATGCCAATGAAGTCATTGAGATAAAAGTCCTTTATGGAAAAATATTTACTGAGACAATGAATAAATTGAGTGAGAAGAGATCCATTGTCACCAGTTAAGATGATGTCGTCAACATAAAGCAAAAGGATGATACAACTAGTAGAGGAATGGTGAAGAAAGATAGATGGAGGTATCCGCAACACTCTGATGAAAGCCACTTTGGAGAAGATAGGTACTGAACCATTGAAAGCATGCCAATTGTGCTTGACGAAGACCAACAATGGCCTTATGAAAGCGACAAAGATGAGTAGGCTTAGAAGGATCAACAAATCTAGTAGATTGTTGCATGTATACCTCTTAAAGTCAAAGACCATGGAGGAAGGCATTTTTCACGTCAAGTTGGCGAATGGGCCAATTTTGTGAGATGGAAACTGCTAGAACTGAATTTAGTAGTCTGAAATGGTAAAGAAAACCATAATGGACTAAATTGATGAGAGGCATCCTTTCTTTAAGCGGTCCATATCTTGGCCACCACATCACTTTGAACTATTCAAGGACTGGTCCAATATTGAAGCATGTATCGAATCTGTATGATTGTAGTCTTAATTTGAATACCGCTCTGTGGGGATCTCGAAGAATGCATTTTTGAAGTCCAAGTAAAAGATAGGCATACATCAAGATCAATGGGTTCGTCCACACAAGAAATATGTCCGAGTTCATTTTTGAAAGATGGTTCCCAATCTTTCCATGGTATAGCCATTCTGATAACGAGCATAGTTGACAACAATTATCCCTTCTCGTTTAGGTATTTTTATAAGTGGACCGATCTTCTTCATATAGAATTGTCTCTGCTTGGTCCCATGTAAGTCTAGATCCTTCATTATAGAAGTCATCTTTCCCCTGTATTTCTGAAGGACGAGCATATGAAAGAAAAGCAGGAGCCATAGTGGTACGACATTTCCGGGTTATGTCTGTGATGTGACCTTATGAATTGTGTCAGAATAAGTATCAAATAAACTAAAAGTTATCAGCTTCTTTCTTAAGTGCTTCAGTTCGACGTGATCTATCACACACGCTTTTGAATCAGACTCTTCCCCTACTTTCCACACATCATGAGCAGATTATTTCTCCCTATGAAACTCCAACCAAATTGTTCAGGGATGACGGTAAATCCGTTTGCAAATCACAAAGCAGACAACTCGTCGATCTTCGTCTAACTTCCAAACTACTTACTAATAAAGGGAAAGAAT